TATATATATATATATATATATAGTAATTAAATAAGTGAATTAATCAATCTCAATAATCATGCAAGAGATGTTTTTGGTTTTTGTACTTGTTAGTATTGTTTTTCTATTACAAATAATACATGCTGAATTGTTGAGCTCATATTAGTTGTTACCCGAGCATGACTTGACTCCTTTACACCCCTAAGTTATTATTTTTCATCTGTTTTCGAATTCAAGTTCCTTAATTTTTTTTTTCTCTTTGCTTTGATTCTATAATCCTTTGGTGTATGACACTCTTGTTAATTTGGTCTACATAAGTTCTAATTTATTGTGCAATCCAATGGTTTAGAGAACTTATTTCCTTTACATCACAAAATTTCTATATTTTCTTAAAATAAAATATATAGTAATTTATGATGTGTGCACGAAATACATCGGTTAACAACCAAGACGATGCCATTAAATTGTGAACCTCTCCATAATGGATTCTTCGTCTCATATAAATAGATCAATTTTCCTACTATGACACTCTTATCCATAAATTTGTACTGAAATTACCCGACAATTGTTGCTCTTTCGCCAAAAGGATATATCAAAATGCCACATTTGCTATCAATTATAAAATGGTTTGTTAACTAATTTTTTATTTCATTTGATAAGTTTGTTAAAAGTGATTAGTTTTAATGTGTTTACTGTTTATTTTTGCAGTTCTATTCTTTTCAAGTTCACTCTTCCGTAACTTGGAGATTGATAATTTGCTGAAATATAAATTAAGGTATGATGATAATATTTGGCATGTAATCATTTTCATTTATCTTAATTTATGATATTAAATTGACAATTTATTTTTGTTCAACTTTAAATTTTTAAGTAGCATATTCAATATCTTGTGACTATCACTGTTAGTTCTCTGCTCGAAGTCTCTATTTCTTCGCTCAAATATGTGTATGCGCTTTCCTGTTCTCTTTTATTTAAGAAAATTTGATAGTGTATTTTTTTTATTGTCTTAAAAATGGTCGGTTATGTGTCTTTATTTAAAAAAAATCAACAATATACCATTTTTATTAAAATTGTCGGCAATATATCTTGATTTTTAAAAGTTACTACTATATGTTTAAATTTTCTTTTAATTTTTTGCCTCCATTGAAATTTACTTGTTATTTGAAATTGAATACTTAGGTTTGAATAATATATTTCTTTAACATATATTTCATGTTAAAAAAATATTTGATTAGCAATTTTAAATTATTTATATTGATATTATGATTTTTCCCTTAAGTTTTAATAAATGGATCATTATTTGAAGACAAAAAAGAATGAGCATAAATTGATATTGATAATCTCCTAGATGATCTCGGTTTCATCATTTGATTTAGTTTTATGATATTAATGATAAGAATGCAGTAAGAAGAGCGTATTTATTGAAGGGACCAGATTAATCAAAAAGTCGAAATTTTTATCAAATATTGATGAGCATTGTTGCATGGAGATTTAGTTCAAAATGTTTCAAGTCGCATCCAACTTAGAGTACAGTGTGCAGAAAGTTGCATCATATTATCTTTATTGTTGTTATCTTTATCGTTATCTACTTAGGCCTTGAGAGAACAAGTTGTTACAGGTAAAGGTGGTAGAGATGCATTTATTCATGAAGGATTTAAAATTAGAAGAGAGAAGAAAAATTCAGCTCATGTTAGTAAACATAATAATACTCACAATAAAACAAGAAAAAAATGCAAGAATTTAATGAAACTGCAAATATAGTGTTCCTCCTACCATATGGTTGAATAAAGATGAGAGAAACAAACTAGAAAATTAGATTATGTTGACTGCAACGATTGATTTTATACGATTTCTTTTACGACAAAGATTATCATTTCATGATCATGATGAATTATTTGAATCAATTAATCAAGGAAATTATTTAGAATTGATCCATTTTCTTTAGTTTATAGACTTATTATCATGTGACTAATTTTACAAGTTGCTTCTGTTACAGTTGAAAGATCTTTTTCTATAATAAAGATTGCCAAAAATGTGATGAATCATTTGAATCAATTAGTCAAAGAAACTATTTAGAATTGATCCATTTTCTTTAGTTTATAGATTATCTTGTGACTAATTTAACAAGTTGCTTCTGTTACAGTTGAAAGATCTTTTTCTATAATAAAGATTGCCAAAAATCAGTTGTATAGTCGAATGAGTGATGACTATAGTACAATGAAAAATAATACATTAATTTGCCTCCAAATGAAGCCGTTATGCAATATTATCAAAATATGCAAAATATATTGAAAAGTTTGTAGTTTATTTCAATTAATCAATTGAAATGCGTGATTTTTATTTTCAAATGTGTAATTGTTTTTAATTTGTTTGTATTTTCTTTAATAGAACAAGCCCCCTGCCCCACCCCCTGAGTCTGCCGCTGACCTTGAACTACAACTAAAGCTCGATCGGAGTCATGCTTAACTCATATGCGGCTCATTAATTTAAACCCAAAGAAATTTGGAGGTTCAAAATATTATAAATTTTAAACTAATTTAACAAAATTTAAATTGATTGTAAAATCCCTAGCTCAAATAATAATCATTTAATCTTGTTGAAGTTAGATAAATGATTGTAAAATCCCTAAATAATAATCATTTAATCTTGTTGAAGTTAGATAAGTTAAATGAGATGATAATGTCTAAAACTTAAAATTAACTTGGTTATCACTATATTTTTTTTAAAATATTATAAAAATTATAAATGTAGGAATTAAATTTAGCGAAAAATTAGGACTACATATAGGAAGGGAGAAAGAAGCTAGACATGTTAAATTCATTAATAATGTGATTTTTTTTAAACTTTGTTATTGCATTTTTTTCCTTCCACTTCTAGCTTTTACTTTATTTAAAATCCACATGACCTAGAAAAACATGATCTAAAGAACTTAATATTTCAAGTTTATAACATTCTTTATTCATCCAATTTTCCCTGATTTTCATTCTATTTAAGGGATTATTTGGGGTAGTTATATTTGTTTGAAGAAGTAATTGTGATTTATGAAGCTGCAGCAGACGAAACTATCGCTCAAAATACTGTGGTAGCACTTACAATTTTTTCTTAAAAAAAGTTTGGCCATAACTTTTTAGCAACCATCATTCTTAGTCAGGTTCAGCTGTAGAAGCAGCCTTCAGTTGCAACTTTTTGAAGAATTAAGAATGCAGTTGTTTCTTTATTTTTAAAAATTACAAGAATTTGTACCCTTTTTTTAACTTAATTTGTATTCTATTAACTGCTTTTAACTCCAACTTTTTTTAAAAAAGTTAGCTATCATTTTCTATTTGAGGTAGCTTTATACTAAACACAGTTTTATCAAACAGAAAAAACTAAAGTGTTTAACACTACACCACGGCGCCAAACACACCCTAAATTAAATTAATATATTCATGAAAACATAAATTTCTCAAATATATAGATT